TGGCTATCAGGGAGGATATCTGTCAACATCCAGCTCCCCACCTTCAAATCTATTTACCTTCACACATACTGTCTCAAAAAACTAGAGATACCTCCTTCTGTTAGAGTGTATTTCTCCACCGACACTGTTGGGTCAAGCCCCCTCAGAGGTATTGATCTGTCAATTAACTCCTTTCTCACATAGAACCTGGCTTAAGTCCCTGTCATCTTAAAAAACAACAACAAACCTGAACTCTGTAGTGGGGTGAATGGTGGTCCCAAAAAGATATGTCCAAGTCCTGGCCCCCAGTACCAATGAATGTGACCTTATTTGGAAATAGGGTCTTTGCAGATATAATTAAGGATCTCAAGATGAGATCATCCTGGATTAGAGTGGGCCCCAAATCCAACAATGGGTCTTCTTACAAAAGACAGAAAAGGAGAAGACACACAGAGAAGGATACGTGAAGATGGAGACGGAGACTAGAGTTATGTTGCTACAAGCCAAGGAATGTCATGGATGGCCAGCAGCCACCAGGAGCTAGGAGAGAGGCATGGAATGGATTCTCCCTCAGAGCCTCGAGAAGGAACCAACTCTGCAGACACCTTGATTTTGGACTTCTGGCTCCCAGCCTGTGGGCGAAGACATTTCTGTTGTTTTCAGCCATGTGGTTTATGGTGATTTGTTAAAGCAATACTAGGAAATGAATACACGAATACACTTGCCATTCCCCAAGCCTCTCTACTTCTCAATGATATCATTCTTTTTCTTCTCTTCTAAAAGAAGAGTCTTTACTCATTATACTCTGTGTCTTACCCTGACTGTGATGCTGAAAGTATGCTCCCCAAAGTCATTATCTTCCCACAGCCACATCGAATGGGAACTCCCAGTCCTTACCTTGCAGAGCTCTCTGCTGCATCCCACACTGTTGACCCTCCCTCCTTCTTTACAATTCTCTTCTCCCTTGGCTTCCATGATATCTCCCTCCCCTGAGGTACATCCTACTTCTTTTGTTGCTCCTTCAAAGTCCCTTCAGTGGACTCACTTCTCTCCTTTCTGTCTTAAATTTCAGGGTACCCAGACTTCTTCCTTGGCTCTCTTCTCACTCTCCAAGCCATTTTGACTCCATCTCCTACACATATCTCACATCTAATCTTTCTTACCCACTCCTATAATACTGTAGTCAGAGGAGGATGGTGTGTAGAAAGACTAATACTTACAAATCTCTCTGAGTTTCAGTTTCTTCCTCTATGTTACGACGAGGCCATCAACTTATAGGGCTGCACCAAAGACATGAAAAGTACGTAATACAATGACTACTCAACATATATTAGTTCCTTCCCCTTAGTTCAAGTGTTTATTCATTCATTTATGCCAGAAATATTTATTGAGCACAGCCATGAACAGGCCTGTTCAAGGTACACAAGACAGACAAGGTAGCTTACATTCTAGTGAAAGAAAAAGAAAATAAACACATAAACACAAAAGAGCATTTCAGACAGCGATGAGTTCTATAAGGAAAAACAAATAGGCAGATGTAGTAGAGAATGACCAGGAAGCGGGGTACCTTAGCTATGCTGGCCAGGGATCTCTCTGTGAAAAAGCTACCTGTGAGCTGAATACTGAATGATGAGAAGGTGAGCCTGCAAAGAGCTGGAGAAAGAACATTCTGGGTAGAGGGAACTGCAAGTGCAAAGGAATAAGGTAGGAGTGAGCCTAGCTGGGCTGGGAATAGAAAGGAGGCTACTGTGTCTGGAGCACAGGGAACACGGAAGGCCACAGTCTTTCACGTGGTTGATTGTAATTGCTTCCTAAAGGAGCTGTCCTTGCTGGTCTCTTTCCACTTGGAAATCTTCCTATTGTTGACAGAGTGGTCTCATTAAAATAATAATAGATAACACTTATAGAACATATCAAATGTATCAGACTGAGTGCTTTCCACACCGAACAACTTTACCACATCACAGCAACCCTCTGAGGTAGGTGTTATTATCTATTATCTCTCTTTAACAGATGGGAAAATGAGACACAAAGAGGTTAAGTAACTCATGAGTCTCAAAGACAGTAAGTGATGGAGCCAGGATTTGAACCCGAGAAGTGGGTGGGGTTTGAATATAAATCTGAATGTGTCACTCTCCTGCCTTAAACTCCTCAGTGGCTCCCCAAGACATTCTGGATTAGAGTGTGAGCTATTTATTTGATCATCGTCCCCTGTCTCCTTTCCCCACTTTGACCCCCCACATACACCCTGTCGTCTGCACACATCAGATGTCCGTCCTGGAACATGCCATGTTCTCTCATATATCACACCTTTATACCTTTGCATGTGGAATCCCTTCTACCTAGATCACTCTTTGTCCTCTTCTTGCCTGGCTGTTCCTAATATCTGGTCAAGACCCAGCTCAGGTGTCATCTACTCCCTAACTCTTTACCCACCTTCCCACCCTGTGGACACATCTATGCTAGCCTCAGCACTAATCATCAATGAATGGACTTTCCTCCTGACTAGACTGGGAATTGATTAAAAGTGAACGACTGCCAGATTTACATTTTTATCCCAGCACTTAACATAGTACCAGACATATAGCAGACTCTCATTAAAACACCATAAAATGAGTAGAAAGAGAAGTCAAGAATACAATCCCATTTATAATAAGAACAAAAAGAATAAAATATCTAGGAATAAATTTAACCAAAGAGGTGAAAGACTTATACAAGGAAAACTATAAGACATTATTGAAAGAAATTTGAAAAATACATAAAGAAATGAAAAGATAGTCCATGCTCATGGATTGGAAGCATAAACATAGTTAAACAGTCATATTACCTAAAGCAATCTACAGATTCAACGCAATCTCAGTCAGAATCCCAATGACATTTTTCATGGAAAAAGAACAAAGAATCTTAAAATTCATATGGAATAACAAAAGACCCCAAATAATCAAAGCAATCCAGAGAAAAATGAACAAAGCTGGAGGCATCACAATCCCTGACTTCAAAATATACTACAAAGCTATAGTAATCAAAGCAGCATGGTGCTGGCACAAAAACAGACACACAGACCAATGGAACAGAATTGAAAGCCCAGAAATAAAACAACACATGTATGGACACCTCATCTTCAACAAAGAAGTCAAGAACATACAACGGAGAAAGGAAAGTCTCTTTGATAAACGATGTTGGGAAAAACTGGACAGCCACATGCAAAAGAATGAAAGTAGACCATTAGCTTACACCATACACAAAAATTAAGTCAAAATGGATTAAAGACGAAGGTAAGAACTGAAACCATAAAACTTCTGGAAGAAAATATAGGCAGTACACTCTTTGACACGAGTCTTAGCAGCATTTTTTAAAATACCATGTCTACTCCGGCAAGGGAAACAAAGGAAAAAATAAACAAATGGCACTGCAACAGATTAAAAAGCTTCTGCAAGGCAAAGGAAACTATGAACAAAACAAAAAGACTACTCACTAACTGGGAGAAAATATTTGCAAATCATATTTCTGACAAGGGTTTAATTCCCAAAATACATAAAGAACTCATACAACTCAACAACAGAAAAACAAACAACCTGATCAAAAAATGGGCAGAGGATCTGAACACACACTTTTCCAAAGAAGATACACAGACGGCCAATAAGCACATGAAAAGATGTTCAACATCACTAATTGTCAGAGAAATGCAAATCAAAACTACAATAAGATATCACCTTACACTCATCAGAATGGCCATAACTAACAAGACAAGAAATAGCAAACGTCAGAGAGGATGTGGAGAAAAGGGAACCCTCATACATTGCTGGTGGGAATGCAAACTGGTGCAGCCACTATGGAAAAGAATATGGAGATTTCTCAAAAAATTAAAAATAGAAATACCATACATCCAGCTATCCCACTACTGGGTGTTTATCCAAAGAACATGAAATCAACAATACAAAGAGATTTGTGCAACTCTATGTTCATTGCAGCATTATTCACAATAGCCAAGACGTGATAGCAACCCAAGTGCCCATCAACTGATGAATGGATAAAGAAGATGTGGTATAAATATACACAATGGAATACTAGTCAGCCGTAAAAAAGACAAAATCATCCCATTTGTAATAACATGGATGGATCTTGCGGGTATTATGCTACGTGAAATAAGACAGACAGAGAAAGACAAACCGTATGATTTCTTTCACAGATGGAAGATAAATAAACACATGGATAAGGAGAACACATTAGTGGTTACCAGAGGGAAAGGGGGTGGAGGGTGGACAAATGGGGTAAAGGAGCACATGCATATGGTGATGGATAAAAATTAGACTATTGGTGAGGCCAGCAGGATGGCATGGTAGTTAAGTTTGCACACTGTGCTTTGGCGCCCCGGGGTTTGTGGGTTTGGATCCCAGGTGCAGACCTATGCACTGCTCATCAAGCCATGCTGTGGCAGGGTCCACGTACAAAACAGAGGAAGATTGGCACAGATTACAGCTCAGGGAAAATCTTCCTCACCAAAAAACATTAATAATATTATTAGACTATTGGTGGTAGGCATGATGCAGTCTATACAGAAAGAGATATATAATAATGTACACCTGAAATTACGCAATGTTATAAACCAATATGACCTCAATAAAATAATTAAAAACAAAAAACCACAGAGGAATGAATGAATGGGGCAGTGAGGGACCTGCCATATTTTGAGCACTTACTTTATGCCAGGAACTGAGCTAATGTTTTTACAAACTGTTATGGACTGAATGTTGGTGTCCCCCTAAGTTCGTATGTTGCAGCCTTAACCCACAATGTGCTCATATTCAGAGACAGGGTCTTGAGGGAGGTAATTAAAGTTAAATGAGGTCATAAAGGTGGGGCCCTAATCTATCAGATTGGTGTCCTTATAAGAGAAGGAGGAAACACCAGGGGGCTCAGTCTCTGCTTGTGCACAGAGGAAAGGCCAGGTGAGGACACAGTGAGAAGGCGGCCACCTGCAAGCCAGGAGGCGAGCTCTCACCAGAAACCAACCATGCTGGCACCTGGATCTCAGACTTACAGCCTCCAGAACTGTGAGAAATAAAACTTCTATTGTTTAAGCCGTATAATCTGTGATATTTTGCTATGGCGGCTCAAGCAGTTTAATACACGTATACTGTCCAATTTGATGTTCACAGTCACCTGATAAGATAGGTACCCCCATTTTCAGAGAGGGAGAGATGGAGGCCTAGAGAGAATAACATGCTTTTGGTCACACATAGTGGCACAACCCTGCTTTAAACCTGGACTGCCTGAACCCAACGCTCAGGAACAAGAAAAGCAGAAGTGTCTGTCCTCCAAGACCTTAGAAATTAGCTGTAGGGGCATGACTAAAATGCCTGCACTAGACTGCGCGGGCGCTGCCCTAATCACTCCCTCAATTTCCTGTTCTGAGTTTCTGATGACCCAGGGCACGTGTCCCCTTTGACACCTCCTACTCCCTCCTACTCAGTCCAACACCCCTCTCTCCCAAAAGCTTTCTTTGCTCTCAGATGCCAACATCTCTCAGCTCATCACTCCAGAAGCCCTTGGCAGCACACAGCTGATTTGCTTCTGTCTTTTATCACTTCATCCCTAATACTCACCCCCACCTCCCAGTTTCTTCCCTCCTGGGTCTCCTCCATCAGGCTGTCCCCTTCATTCCCCAGGCACCTGCCCCCACCGCAGCCCACACGACCTCTCCCTGGGGTTGCTGCAAAAGCTTCCAGATCTGTAGCTCTGCTTCGAGCCCGACCCGATCAAGCGCTTAATTCAAACTCTGTTGGATTCTTCCATGTGGGGTTGGCCGTTTAGTTCTCATGAAGATTCCAGTAGCACTGAGGGCAGCGGCTACACCCTTACCTTTCCTTTATGCTTCCTAATGGCAAGAGTGGTTCTGACATTTTTTTCCCTTACTATCAAGCACTCTTTTGAGAATCCAATGAAGACAATGGACTCTCCCAGGAACAAAACACGTATACAAAAAAATTGGCTGACAGCTCCATACTGCCAGAGGTTTATGACCCCTAAGTTAAGACCCCTGCTCTCTGGGCACTGATCACGAGGCTGGACAGCCAGCAAATGTGCACCCCATTTCCTGCTCTCAGCCCTGGTGAATGTTACTGAAAAGCCACTTTGTGCATGAAGGTTCATGAGGGCGGAAGTCGTCTGGCAGGGCTTGACTAAGGTGGGGCTGGATCTAGATTTTCAGGTATGGGTAGGATTAAAGAAGGAGGGCAGGGAAAAGGGTATTCAAAGCAGGGGAAAATGCATGAATGCGGGCACGGCGTGGAGGGCATCAAGGTGAGCCACTTGAAGAGCTGTAAGAGCAGGCTGGACAGGAGCGCCAAGGAGGTGGGAGTGTAAGGTCGTATCAAATCTGACTTGGCACAGAGGGCAATGAGGAGCCTGTATGAGTTTCTAAGCAGAGGAAACACGTGATGATAGTGACGTTCAAACAAGTGGACAGAGAAGAGAAGAGAGGCGGGCAGGAAGCAGAAAGGCTGGTTAAAACAGCTTTGATGGTAGCAGTGGGAATGGAGAGGCAGAGAAGAACTGGAGGAATGTTCCAGAAGAAGAACCAGGATCTGGTGAAGGATGGAATAAGGGATCCAGAGTTGGAAGAAGCCTGGGAGATTGGCAGGGCAGTGAAGCAGGGGGCAAAACCATGGGTGGTACCTTCCTCACAGGACGGTGTGCCATGCGCCAGACGAAAACCAGCACAGATGTCCCCTTTATCAACTTAGTCTAAACCAGACGCCAGTGTATGTATGCACCCAATATGCTTCCCAGAAAACCTGCAGTCAGTTCTACCAAATTCTATTGAGTGAAATAAACACATGAGTAATGTTTCCAGGATGAACATTAAAATGCCCACATTGAAAACATCCCAGAGAACCATCTATTCTAGGGAGCACATGGTGCCCTGCGTGGAACCTGCTTTTAATGCAACAGCATCTAATCGTCAGTCACGTCCTCATTCTGCTGCCTAAGGCATTCTCTACCAGAGCAGCATTAATAACGCCCACTAGCATTTCTGTTGGCTTCACATAGCTCCACTTCACGGTCTAACGAAGGCATGCCCAGGGGTTCCGATCTTGGCATCATCTGAGGGTGCGCGTGCATCTAAGGATGCTCTCACAGGAGACAGTCACTTGTCACAAGCCTTTGCATAGGCACAAAAGCGTGTTGAAGCAGCAGCAGCAGCATTGCTCACCCAGGTTCCCCACGCACATCAAAATTGCCCTCCAGCACCGAGCTGTGTGTATGTGTGCCTGGTAACAGTTGGAAGTTGAGACTAAGTTAAGTTTATTGATGCTGGGATGATACAAACTACTTCAGTGTCTGAAACTTTCTCCATTGTGCTCAACCATTTTAAGTTAAATATGGCATGAACTTAAATTTGGGGCAGGGGGCGGGTGGGGAGAGCAACTCATCATCGCTTTGTAAATTAAAACAGTGAGTTCTAATTGTTCAGAGGAAGACCAGATTCAATAAAGACACATTCCAACCAGGTTGGAGGAGGTGCAGGCTTACCATTAGGACAGAGGCCCAAGGGCGCCTGGGACCAGCCGTAGGCTGGAGGAGTCAGTGTGAATTAATGGCAATGGGGACTACACACTGGGTCCTGTTCCCCACCTCCCACCCCCAGAGCCTTCACTAGTTGGGGAGGCACACTGCCCAAACTTGTACTGTGCTTCTGGGGTGAGTTAACTTTTAAACATTAAAACAAGCAGTCAAAATATGAAAGAAAATTTCAAGGCTTTGACATTCTTTTCACCTTTTTTGTTGAGTCTCCCTGTACCTCCAAAAATGATTCCTCAGGTTATCAGATGCTTTGTTGCTGAAAGTTAGGAGTCTTTAGCAGAGGAGCTCAGGCACCATAGATGAGCTCTGAATGGCAGCTTTGAAGAATGTTTAAATGAAGCTGTGGTTTGGGGCATTTTCCAGCACAGAATTCAGTAGACACATTTGATTTCCATGACTATTAGCACAAGAGAGAGTGTTTTAAATCAGGCGTGCTATGTATGCAGTTCAATACTTCCTGACAGGAGCTTACATCAAGCAATCTGGATGACCCACGTGCTATCAGAATGTTGGTCCTGGTTGTTCTTATTATTTGGTCTGGAAAGATCTTGAGTTAGCTCGTCGGTGCCAATGGTTCCACGTGAGTGGCCTGGGAGCTCTCCTGAGCAGCGTGCTGTCTTTTCTAGAGCTAACCTCCCTTCCCCACTTGGCTTTAAGGCCAACCACAGTCTCTCTCAGGGTTTGAGAGAGCAAGGCTGGGTTAGGGGCAGTGACATCAGGTGTCCCACAATGGGAGCACACATTCCTTCCTCTTAGAAATAGACCTATAAGCTGAGGTCAACCAGACAACTTCTAGAAACAGGAATAGAAGGAGCAGAAGCAAGGGTCAAGCTGGATGGGCTCAGCTTTGTTGTCTCTCCCCCCCAGGGAGTGGAGGAGAGGCGGGAACGGAAACACTGCCTGTGCATTTACCATGTGGCTCTTGCTATCTTACCCCATGAGCCAGCCATCATGATTCCCATTTTGGAGATATGGAAACAGAGTTCTGGGGCTCTGGACACTTATTATTCTATATACATTTGGTTGCTTGCTTTTTGAAAGTGTTTTGTGTAGGAAGCAAAGTGGTGCGAGATGGAACTGATAGCTAAAATGCATTATTAGATGCTCTGTGAATGTCATCTATGGTTACTATTCGTTGGCCTGTGTGATTCTCAGGAAGGGTGGCAGCCAGGGAAAGATGGTCCAACACAGTGTTTCAATGAGTTACTGCATCCTCATGGGGTACAACATTGGCTCAAGAACACAAGGTCAGTCCTCCTATAGGAACCGATCATGGAGATCCATTTAAGACCTGACCATTCCTCTCTGGCATAAACTCTGCTCATGAACAGCATCACATGCTCTCGGGCTGCTTCGTTCTTTCCCATAGAATTCTGATTCTGTTTGGATCTCGAGTTTGACCACAAAACCAAACTAGACCAAACCAACTACCAAATAAACAACCAAAAAATATGTTTGTTGGATTCATCAACATGTATTTAATAGTCCGACCCATCCACCTGCCAGTCATCTAGGAAGTAACCTTGCTGTGCCTGACTTTCCACATATGAGAAGTGGAGATGTGTATATTTTCCCTCATCTACCCCGGAGGGATGGTGAAAGGATTACTGAGACAATAGCCATAAAGCTATTTGAGCTTCTTACCAAAAGGTGCTACTGGAATACAAATTATTATTAGCATTACCATTGTTACATGGTTTAAAACTACAATATGAAAAGCAGGGTCTATAGATCAGTGTGTCAGCATCCTGCATAGCTTAAGATCAGTTTGAAGTTGGTTGTCTTTGCATGCTTGGGTCCTATATTAAAGCATTCTTTGCATGAAAGCATATTCAAGGGGCCAGATGTAGTCATGCTGTAAGAAGAATAACGAAGGTGCAAGAACAGACATGCACAGGTAACACCTGTGGAAAATGGATGTTTGAGCTCACATTTCTGTAATGGGTGTTTATGTTACACAGTCCCACTGTGGTGGAGTTGGGGGGACTCTCACAAAGCTTTATTAAGTGCTTAATGTACAGAGTGTGTGACCTGAGATCAGCTAGAAACAGATACTGAAATTTTGCTTTGATAAGCGAAGCATTTTGATAGAAACTAAAACTGCGGTATCACTGCACATTCTTTCTTGGGGACAAATATGATATTTCTAGTCATTTAAGACCCTGCCCAGGGTTTGATCCTTGAGAAGCACCCTGGAGCACAGGCAAGAACATGGGCTCTGGAGTCAGACATGCCTGGGGCCTCAGGCACCTTGGTTTCTAGCCATAAAAACGGGGACAATAACATCTACCTCAAAGGTTGTTGTGAAGATCACATAATGAAATGTGCATAAAGAACCCAGCACCAGAGTAGGTCCTCTTTAAAGATTATTCTTGTTCCCTGATGTTTGGCATGTTTGAAGCATCTATATTGTTCTTCAAATACAATTGATAATGCTAGCATGCAAAAAAACCCCCCTACTTTTGAATACTAAATTTAAATGTTGGGCAACCCAGAGGTGATTTTCTTTTCTATAGGTAGCTCACTAAAAAAGACATTCTGCAATTGGACAGGCCCATTTAGAACAGGCTCATTAGAACAGCCATGGAGCGCATTCCAGAGTATTCCTAAGGGTCTAAATTCCCAGGGATATCATTCTGCAGGCAGAGTTTATTCTTAGACAGTTTAATCCCTCCAACGGTGTCTCTGCAAAGTTCTTCCTCTGAATTCTGAGGTCATTCTAATTCTTTTCTCTTGGGGCACAGAGGTCCTGTATAATTTACTGCTCCCTTCTTCTTATTGAGTGTTCCTGTACTTTAAAATGCCTTTTAAGGGCCATCTAGAAAAGGACGGAAAAAATGGTACAAAAATGGAGGTGGGGTGAGGGGGGGAAATTTTGCAAGAGTTTGGTGTATGACCCTGCACCCCAGGCCCCAGCCTCCATACAGGAAATGCTCCGGGGCCACGCTGCGGCCTCCATAGAGGCCCACAGACTTTCACAGCAATTCGAGCTGACGGAGGTGAGGCCCCTCACTTCTCTGGCAATTATGAGCCTGTGGCAATAAAATAGACACACGCAGCCACGCAGCCACTGTACTCCAGAAGTTTTCTTGTTTGACAGTTGCAGAATTAACACCAAGTGCCTTCATAATAAAAGCTAGGGTGTCGGGGCAGGAAGTGGGGTGGTGTTCTTTAACATTTGCTCTGTGGCCCCTGATGAGCTGGATTCACACATAACATGAGACACCTGCACTCGGTGACTTGAAGGAGTTTTGCGTTAGTTGGTAAGAGAAGAGAAGAGGAGGAATGGAGGAGAGAGGCCATCAAGATGGAGCCAATGGAATGGCTCTTCAAACATACTCTGCTCAGAATATCCCGAGAAGCCGTGAAAACCATGGGGGGCTGGGGTGGGGAGCAGTCATTTATTCTAAGCTTCGCGGGGTTCCTCATTTATTATCACCTCAGGACTGTCGCCGCTAATTTTCCTTTTCTTTACAAAGGGGCCAGTGACACAAATTTAAAAAAATTACAAAAACAATAGAGGAAAACTCAAAGGGTTTTATAACATACTTAGCATACCAATTCTAGAAGTGAATTTCTGGATGTTTTCAAAAAGGACAAACTTTCTTCAAGAAATTCAAAAATTCATGCTGAAATTGACATTAATTTAGAAAAGCTGAAATGAGCGAACACATAGCTCATTTGACACTAAATGGAAGCAATATTATTCCAAATAAAAGTAAAAATATGTTAACAAACCAGACACCAATGTTGTGTACAAAGTAATATTGAATACAATATCGTTTTCTAAAAGCTTTTTCTTACTAAAATATATCAAGAAGTCTTTAAAAATGATTACTTCTTCCTGTGATGCAGAAATGTGTCTAGTTAACATAGGAATAACTAAGATGGAGAATTGCTTTGGCCTCATGCTATTTTTAACACCTAAATTTCATGAAGGAACAAATGGTTTCTTTGAATAGTTCTTTGCAAGCATGCCTGTTTTAATCAGAATGCTTGTGCAATGCATAAACTTAGCTGTATCAAACTAAGGCGAAACACAGTGTAGACAACTGGAGAGTAATTTGTTTGATGTGGACCCTAAGCAACTACAAACCCTAACTTAAAACACATCACTGTCCGTACTTCGAAAGGAAAAGACTAGCATTTCTGGGGCACTCTGGGTTTATTTCTCCAGAAATAGAAGAAATAAAGCAGCCACTTTTATAAGTTTGGACATATTTACAGCATTGCTTTATTTTCTTAAAGCATAGCAGCATCCATTCATCACTTGAGAATAACAAAGCAGTAACCTGATATATGACAAATATTATGAGCTTAATGGCTGATGTCCATTACCGATGGGTCCTGTTCCCTCTTTGGAGGAGACTGGCACTGAAGGATTACTGAGTAAACAGCACACCTGAAAAAACTTGCGCTCCACAGTCTGTCATCAGGGCTCTGATCGAGGGCATTACCTGAGAACTGTGGCTCTTATCTGAAGCTGCAAATTGCTGCCACTGCCAACAATCCTCAACAAAGAGCGGCCGTCAGGGAAGGCTGAGCCACCGAGGCAGGCGGCGGGGGATGCCGCCTCTCCATCGCCCGCCCCCTTTGTGGATCACCTGAGCCCAAGCACCGCACCATCCTTTAATCGTGGATGACCACAGCAACTGAGGACAGGCATCCCACATCTGTATGTGCTGAAAAAAAGGCTCCAAGCATTCTCTTGTCATCCTATAAAATATTTAGCATCTAAACCGCATCTTTAATTTCACAACCAAGTAAGGAATGTGTTTGTGCATATGTTTAAAAATCTGATGGAAATCTTTGGATTCTATCAATATTGAAAGTACGTGCTTTGCTGTCATCTATCTTTCTTCTCCTTTCCTAAGAGGACCTCATATGCCTGAGAACTAAACTTGTCCTACTGGTTTGGCCCTCATGAAAAGTAAGTCATCGCTTTCTTTCTAGTTATTTTACTTACCTAGAAAAGATCAGTTTTCCAACCATAAGGGTTTATGGCTTAATGGACTTGTCAAATTTATAAATTCCAGGAGAAAACAGGATTTTTGTAGATTTGGTTTTACTCATTTTACTGTGTCTGCGACCAAACAAAATATGTACAGATTTCCCAGAAAAAGATATTTACCTGTTTCCTTGTTGTTTATGTACATGTATTTTATTTCAATTATGCATTAACATTTGACTTGTTAATGTCCACTTAATTTCATTTATAAGTTGATAAGTATAATACATACAAATATTAACTTTATGACAGAAATAAAAAATATTAACTTTATAACAAAAATTTAAAAACTTTACAGGAAGTTGAATTATTTGAAGTTAGAACTGACATTGCATTACCATGATAATCTCTCATAAATAGTTAAATTCAGTGAAATGAATAGAAGTCCTTTGATGTTTGAAGTTCTGCTACTGATAATCTGTTTTCCTTAAAGTATTTCATAGTTTTTTGGGGAGGGGAGGGCCAGTAAGTGTCATCAGGGAATAAATTACTAGGATTGAAGTGAAGGAAGAACACGAAATTTCTTTTAAAGACATCCATTAGGAATTTGATTTTGCTAGCACTTTTCCTCCAAAAAAAATTAATTCTATCAATCCTTATCCAAGAAACCAGGCAGCATTCACTATGCCCTACACCTGTCACTCAGCACAAACACAACTGTAGGCAGGGTTGAATAAAAATAAAATGTTTAAGAAAGTATACAGAAAACTAAAAGCAGGGAAAAAAATGTTCATCTTACCTATATAAAAATTCACCTTCTTACTATAGTTAGATTTTATATATTTTTTCTAGTGGAGAAGAGTAGCCCAGCTAACTCAAGAGTTGATCAAAAGAGAAAGGTATGTACGAGGTACTGTCTAGGAGATTTCAAGATGAGATCCACAGCTTCACGGAGTGGCGTTTCATAACTATCAGCGCCAGCATCTAGAAATGCTTCTGTTAAGTTTAAATTTTATCTCCGAAAGGCAGTGGCATCTTAGGATATAAGTATATCTACAGTGATAATTCACAAGCAATAAGCAGAGTAATAATTATTAACTAGCTCAAAGGAAATGTCCAAACCAAAATAAATCATTAGCATTAAAGTTTCAGATCTGTGTAAAAATTTTTCTAAACTTAATTTTTGAGGGTTAGTGCATCACTCCATTTAAATGTGTAAATTGTCTATAGCTCTCCTTCTGCCTTTGAAGTTCTGCCACATCTGCTGTTGCCAGGTAAAATGCTGAATTTGTTCTGCTTTAGCTCCTTAAAAAAACTATCGATTCAACATTGTGAATTCACAAAATTCTTTTGCACATGAACCTCTGTTGAATATTCACAATGGTCTCTGTTCTGCTCCTATTTAAACAGATAGTTCACTCAACTATGGATTATTGAGGATTTTTGTTTTCTAAAATGCCTGCAACACTTTTGAGGGTGTAAAAATAAGTCCTCTGTTAGAAAAGCCAAAAAATAATGAGATTTGGGAAATCTAGTTTAAGATGAAAGGTTAGGTAGCACACACAATTGTACAGTGATGGCTGCCCTACATTTTGAAAAATAAATTTTTCAAAGCAGGAATTTAGGAAGCTGGGACTCTATTATAAAACTACGTATATCATAGCATCATGGTACTGGAAACGAGGGGATGTGTATAGCCAAAATCTCTATTACGTCTCCAAAGATAGTATTTCAGTAATAAAAGGAACGTGCCCTATATCAATTTTCATTTAATAATAGAGTTCACAATTAAATGCAGGAAGAAATATCACCAAAAGACCTGTCCTTCCTTTTCTGAAATTTCAAAATAAAAAGCAAGAAATTTGTGAGCATAAGCAAATAGCTACAGGCTTTAAAACTACTGTTTCTGCTTCTGTTAGGATGGTTACTCTAATGACTGTAGTATATTTCTAAGACGACACTCTCGGAATTATTTAAATCTAAAAATTTTTAGAGAAAAATTATGCTTTAAGTTGCTAATCAACAAGTAAGTATCTTTTTCAAACTAAAGTATTCCTATTAGGCAAACAATTTATAAATGCATATAGTACTTTGAATTTAACTTAAAACTACACACTAAATCACCTTTCATGGGGAACCATTCTGCCCTTGATAATAATAGTCTTGTTCATTACTTATTTACTTTCTCCATCTAAATAAAAACATTTCACATGCCTTTTAAAGTCTAGAAATTTCTTTTACAAATCTCAGTGAAAACCTCTAGATTTTAGTAACTAACGTCTATGACAAAAAACCTGGCTTAATTATAGTTCTTAGCTCCACCAGCAGCCATTTTAAACAGAAAACTGGTTTAGCTGTGTTGACAATCACATTTTAAGCTGATTCTTTCCAGATGAAAAGATACTTTTTCAAACAATGTAATAAAAATGTAAACTCAGCTGTTTCACAGACATAAAAGTGATTTATATCACATGTACTGTGCTCATGGAGTTTTTCTCCTTACACAATGGAAGTTTTATTTTAAGGAAAAGTTAATAATTAACGGCTAGGAAAATCCCACAACGCAAAGAAGTCAGCTATAGGGGATTAGGCACCCCCCTTTGCTCTCCCACAAAAATCAGCCAATAAACCTGGTGAGAAAACTATGTGATATTTGAAAATCAAAGAGTCAACATCAGGATGGTCCTCACCTTTGGTGGGGCTGGGGTACAATAGTGAGTGGAGGGAGGCACCAGGAGGCTTCTGGGAACTGAAATAGTCTGGTTTTTGATCTGAGTGCTGGATACATGGGTATCTCGCTTGTGAAAATTTACAGAAACGGTATGCTTATGTGGACTTTCTGTATTATACTATACTTTAATGAAAACTTTTAAAAAGAGATTACATATTGTCTTTTAAAATGATAGTATGAAAAAATTTTAGTGTAATAGATAAGTACTTATAAACACCCTGAGGTATGACTGGACCATCAGCTACGCCCCCATAGAACAGTATTACGAGAGGACTAAAAATTATGCCAGTGGCTCACGTGATGAGTCCCATGCTAGCCCTGAAGGCGCAGAGAACAGGGTAATATTTTAGATTTTAGGAGGGAGAAATACCTGCGAGAGAGAAAGAGTGTGTCATGTATCGGAGATCTCCACAAAAACATGATCCTTTTGAAGACACTTAACACAGACCTGTAAAATTCATGTTTCCAGCAGAAGTTTTCAATGGCTGTAAGTCTGTATTCTGCACATCCAGTTCCCAATTACTCCTGTTAACGAGCGGCAGGCCACATGGGTAATTGAAAACTCACAGTCAAGAGCTGGCAAATACCCCTCCCCCATCAAAATAGGGGCCCAAGTATTAAATAAATAGAAAAATTGGTCTGTGTTTGAGTTGCTAATAAACTGTGAAATATCCGAAGTGCAGGCAAGTGCAGGGCAAGCAGAGAACACCATTCAGCTAATGACCCCCAGAAAAATCTAGAACTCGACATGTTAACTCGATGTCTTTACGTAGCAAAAGCTTAATTTGTACATTTGCTCTGTGAATTCTGGTGTTTAAAACTCTAATGTTCAATCCATCAGCACAAAAATGATTGCTACTTCCATTTTCTCAGTATAATATTTCTTCTCTCATTAAAAATATTAGCAACAATGTATAGGATTAATTTTTGGTATCATGCATCCTGAAATAGTACCTAGTTGCACAACAACACCAGGACTTCCATCCAGAAAAATATTTTTGCTGCTATCACAGATCCTACCGCGTCTTCCAGGCAGGCCTCTATAGTTCTCTCTCCATGAAACTCCTCTTTCAGGTTCTTATTTGCTAATCCTTGCCTTCCTGTAGTGCCCTTATCCTTTGAAGTGGGATCCGAAACTGGCTTGATTTTTGGTTTTCTTTTTTCAAATCTGAGTAAAATAAAAATATTACTTTTAAGTGTACACATACGTACACATACGTAGTTTAGCTAAAACAAAACTAAAAGGTCTGGATGCAAACAGGCAACATTCAGGCAACGATATTGTGATCTGATTGCCTCTCTACACTGAGTGGGGAATGCAAAAGGAGAATTTCCTCATAATTTGAAATCTCCTAATCAGCTATTTACTGAGGGAAAAATACAAGTAGGGTGTGGAGGGAATGGGGACAGAAGAGACAGATAGGCAAATTGCTTCTGGTCCCGGCAAAGTCACTAATAGGAAAATCTGATTAAATAGGACAAGTGGAAGCACCTCAGGTTGACACTTCTAAGCAGCGAGGAATTTAACACGCCATTTTGTACCTCCCAATCGTCCTGAAGGAGAAGCCTTTTCCCACACAGCTTTCCTTTCCGCCCCCTCCTCCACCCCAAAGACACATAAAAAATCTCCCAGCATGAATGCCATCACGGTCTTATACGTGTCATGTTATTTGCAGTTAGGAGTTAACAAGAAGGACAAGCATAAGTGTATGATGAACCCATAGTTAATGAAGCAAATGTTTTCGGAGTGACTTGTGTACATCCCCAGGGTCAAATCCAATCCTCAGAAATCCACGTGCAGTTTCCATAGAGATAACTATAAACAGCAAGCAGGGAAAAAGAGCTACAGTCAGTCTCTTTTCCGTATTGACATATGGCCTTTATTCTCTCCTGCCTTTATCTTTTGAATGGCAAGTTTTGGCTTGGTTTTATTTATACAATGGAACTTCATCAATTCACACACACCTTCAAGAAACCCAGCGCAAAATACTCATTGTGGAGATCAGCAAAGAAGTAGAAAAACTTGGCAAGAAGAAGAAAATCAAAGAAGTTCATGAAACACATTTATTTTATTGGGCTATGAAAAAAATACAGACTTGGAAAGTGGATATGATATAACCTCAAAGGAAAATAAATAGTTAATAGAGAGGACGGTGTCAATCAGCAAGCCTCAAGGCAAACGCATACAAACATGGTCTGTGGCCAAGGCTGGCGTAGACAAAATGCCACACAGGCAGTGCCCGCAGACGGT